TGATAGTCTACTGTCAGCCTCCATTAGCCATCTGCCTTTTCACAGGCCATACAGGGCTGCTATACAGAGAATTTGTTGGCACCAGTACTCCAGCCTTTAGTATGTCTTTGATCAAGGCAATAATCTCTTTTTGTCCTTTGGGTTTTGTATAGTGTTTCAAATTAACCACCTGAGTGGATTCAGGCAAATCTAAAGGTTCCTGTTTAGCATATCCAATCAGTACTGGCCTAAAGGCAGACTTACATACCTTCAATTTACAATACCAGGTAGAACTGTTCCCCAATTAGACAAAATATCCATGCCAATAATACATTTAAGGGAGATACAACTACTTCATGCAAAATCTGTTTAAATCTTCCAATTCTCATCCAAATGTTCACCTTAGTCCCATCAACTCTTGCATCCCCATCAACTCTTGCATCCCCATATCCCCCCCGTCTAACCTTAAGCTCCTTCAAGATTTTGACTGCTTTTGGGATTACAGTACATTGGGCTTCTGTGTCTAGGAGACCCAGGAAGGCCTCTTCCCCACCCTTGTGGCATTTCATCCACACGTGTATATATGGCTTTGGTCTCCTGCTTGGGGCTGCAGCAGAAGACCTTGGCCTGCTCATCAATCCTTATCTTGATCAACTAGCTGAGCCTGTGCTTTAAATGGTCTCAGGTGGGAATTCCCATCATTAAATACCCTCGGGCTGGGGTGAATAGGACAGACTTGTTTAGGCCTCTTTAACTTTGGGGGACCAGTAGGAATTTATATTGGTCCACCCAACCACCTGTAGAAACTTTGTCTCTATCAATGTCTGCTATATTCATCCCATTTCTTAGTAATCATCTAAAAATCCTGTCCTGCTGGTGTAAATTCTTTCCCCTTGCCTCTTCCCATTCTCCTATGAATTACCCTTATATTTCTTGCATCTGTAGGACCCATGCAGGGAAATTATGCCAAAAGATCCAACAAGGCTTCTTCGATTGTTGCTTTGTTTCACAGCAGAAAGGTTACATGGGTTGCCAATGTAGAAGAGACTCCCTTGATTACCATATCTACCATGACCTGTGTAAGGGGCATAATTATTGGATGAATAGCATGGTCACCATAAAGCCATTCCAGCATGGCTTGCATAAGCAGCACATCAGCTGCTTCCTCTGGAGTGTTCCATTGGGTATTTAGAGGGGAAGTGGGGCAGTTTCTCTTCTCAGGGTAAACAAATCTCACTGCAAATTTTATCCAGTCCACCAGGCTGGCCATCCCCTCTGGGTTAACCTGCTGTGTAAATGGATCTTGTATCATCATTCATGACTGTTCCACAGTGAGTTGTGGGTCTTGCATCAACTCAAACATACTCTTCTGTTCTGCAGCATTCAAAACTAAAGACACTGCCCCAAAATTAGTCACTCTCACAATCCATTTTGGTAACGGTTCCTCAGAAAGCTGATGATACTGATCTACAAATTGAAGCAATGCCTTTACATTATACCCCTTGGTTTCTATAGTTTCTTGGTTTTGCCCGTTTCCCTCCCAGACTACCTTCTTGGTGACCCTTGGTTGTAGAGGAATTTCCTGTTTTTCTGACTTGACTTTTCCTTCATGGGTTAGCACTGAGACTAGTGGTCGTAGCTCTGACTGGACCGGATCTGGCCTGGTTCAGTGCTAAAATCAGCCCCTACATTCTTTTTTTCCTGCCATTGCAGCTATTACAGATAACATAAACCAAGGAATTGTATGTCTGACTCTTTCCTTCTCACTCTGTATTTTCACATGCATCCAATTAGCCAATACCTCAAGAGTTAGATACACCCCTCCTAAATCCCATGAAAAATTTGCCTTGGGTGACTGCAACATAACAGCTGCTTCAGTCATGGGTGTTTTTTTATCCCATCCAGAAAACAAAAGTTTCTCATTCTCCTGTTTATCCCCTTTTTTTCAAAAACCACATATTCCAGTGAGTCTAGGCCACTGCAACAAAACCCACCATTCCGACCTCAACTAAACAATTTCTTTTAAAAGGATCAGCACAAAGCCGGTTCCTATGAGGTAGAGGTTAAAGAAGTCCCAAATGTCCAACTTTTCCAAGCTACTGTAGCACTCCATCAGCTCTAACATCAACTACTCCAGTTCCTCTCATTACTCTCCCTTCCGTTTTGTGGTTCACTAATGGCAACTTCTCACAGACCTCATGAACTGTATAAAGGAAATGGGTCACGTGGTTGTGGAGGCTGGCAAGTCCCAAATCTGTGGGACAGGTGTAGGCTTCTCCCAACCCACATGGCTGCAGGGGCTGACAAATCCAGACTAGCAGTTCAGACCATAGGATGCTGGCTCAAGGCTGCAGAAGGTAGTGAATCAGGTCAGACAATAGGCTGCCAGCCCACAGAGCTCTGGAGGCTGGTGAATCCCTGAATCAGGTCAGACAGCAGTCCTCTGGCTCAATTCCCCAAAACAGGAGGTCAACTGAACACAAACTGGTCACGGGATCCAGATACAAAGAGAGTCCTGCTAGATCTTCCATACATATACCTTAGATGCAGGCCACACCCCAGGGAAGGTGTTAACTTGGGATTTGAGTCACACTATCCTGCCAGGCTGCAACCCAAGACTCAACCTACACCAATCCTGCCTCATCTACATGTAGAGGTCATGATCCATAGCACATAAAATGGAAGATCACCATACAATATTGGGAATCATGGGCTAGCCAAGTTGACACAAAACCCCATCACAAGTTCTATAAACTTTATTTGAATGGTCCCACTAAATCACTGTGTGTGAGCCACAAAGCTGATGGCTAAACCAGAAAACCAAACCCGTTGTCACCAAGTCGATTCTGACTCATAACTACCCTATAGGACAGAATAGAACTGCCCCATAGGGTTTCCAAGGAGCAACTGGTGGATTCGATCTGCCAACCTTTTGGTTAGCAGCTGTAGCTCTTAACCACTACTCCACCAGGGTTTCTAAGACCATAGCTACAAGGGCCATATTAAGTAATCCATTATACCGCACCGACACACAGCGGCCCTGTGTTACAAGGCAGAACTGCTCCAGAGGGTTTTCTTGGCTGTAATCTTCATGGAAGCAGATCACCTACCTTCCTTGGTGCTGCTGGGTAGGTTTGAACTGCCTTTAGGTTAGTAGTTGAGCACAAATGTTTTCCCCACAGACATAGTAGAGCTTGTTATTCTCACAGAATACTTTCTGAATCCACGTAGCCTGCTTTGACCAAAGGCATCTAGACCTTTGACAAGATCTTTTTGCCAGTGTGTATTTATAAGCCCAGTCCTTAAGAGTTCTTAGATGTTCTGACTGCTCTCTCAAGCCACAGCCATTTCAACCAGAAGTGCATGTCCTGGCTAGCCTACTGAGGAGACTTGGGGAGCAGAGCCAGCTTAGCTGACCCAAAGCATGAAGGAGAGCTGCCTCATCTACTGTAGCAAGAGCTCAAAAACACACATCAGTGAGCCAGAGAGAGTGTCCTGTACCCACAGGTCTAAACAGTAAATACCCTAGTGAGCACTGATTATGTGCCAGGCCCTACTCAAACCCTTTTAGTTGCATATATGATTACTGGATACACACATTTGCTTTAAAAGGTAAAGACTATTTTTATTTCCATTACTAGATAAGGAAACTGAGACTGACAGAGATCACAAGCCTACCACAGTGACAAATACTCAAATCAAACGTGTTTGTGTTTGTGGATACACACATATATATATATACACAGGTACATATATGTACATGGAGTCTCTAAGTGGCACAATCTGTTCAGCACTAAGCTACTAACCAAAAGGTTGGTAGTTTGAACCTACCCAGAGGTGCGTCAGAATGAAAGGCCTGGAGATCAGCTTCTGAGAGGTCACAGCTTTGAAATCCCTAAAAGTACACTTCTACTCTGACAGCACAGGATTCCCATAAGTCAGTGTCAACTTGATGAGCAAATTGTTTTTTTTAGTAACTTGTTTTGAGCAACAGGAAAAACTGGGGTGTGCCAGGTCCCAGCCTAGGCCTCCAGGAACTTGCATGACTCCTCTTACTCTGGGCACCACTTCTGCCATGCGAATAGCTTGGGATGCCTCAGTGATGCACTGTTGGGGTGTTGCTATAATTTAAATCCTTACAGTAAGTTGTGCTGGCCCTAATGGGCTATTTCCGTGAACATTAGGAAGAAAATTACTTTTCAGGCTATTGTAACCCTCAGCAGAAATGTTTTGTTAAATATGTTTTACAACAAATAAAACACAAAGTCACATAGAGTTATCCTATGACCCAGCAACTCTACACCTAGGTATGAACCCAAAAGAACTGAAAACAGGGACTCAGATACTTGTACATGAACGTTCGTAGAAATATAATTTAGAACAAAGGCGAAAACAAAACAAGTGCCCATGAAAACATGAATGAATAAACAAAATACTATACACACACACACACAATGGAATATTATTCAACCATTAAAAAAAATGAAGTTCTGGTATATTCTACAACCTGGATGAAACTTGAAGGCATTTTGATGAAACAGGTTAGACACCAAAGGACAAAAGCTTATTCCATTTATATGAAATGTCCAGAATAAGCAAATACAGAGAGACCAAGGTTCATTGATGGTTACCATGGGATCACGGGTTGGGAAGTTATTGCTTAATGGACACAGAGTTTCTGTTTGGAGTGATGAAAGTTTTTTTGAAATAGATGGGGTTGATGGTTGCACAACACTGTCAATGGAGTGAATGCATTTGTATACTTAAGATGGTTAAAACGACAAAGTTTACATTAAATGTATTTTACTATTTTTTAAATTCAACTGTAAAAAACAAAAACAATAACAAACAATGTCTCGTCCACAAAAAAGTATAACTTCAAAAGATTGTGCAGCCTTTGTTGCAAAAACTGAAAACAAAAACAGGACACTATTTTGTTTTAAAATACTTTATTTTCAGAAATGTTTATTTACACAAAAATTGTGCATAGAGTCCACATGCACCTGCTCCTCCACCCACAGTGTTTCACCTATGGTTAACATCTTGCATTCTTGTGGTGTGTGGTATTGTTACAATTGACAAGTCAATATTGATACATTATCATTAACTAAAGTCCACAAATTACATCAGGGTTCACTGTGTTGTAGTCCTATGATTAATAACCAAATAATTTAAGAAAGGTAAAATTTAGCTTGGCCTGAAAAAGTAAAAAGCACTGATGAGGACAGTCCTGCAGTTACAATGAAAGTATCATTTCTCCAAAAGGCACAAAGTAGCTCTAACAACCCCTTCTTTGAGTTAATACTGCTTTTGTACTCACTGAGAAACTTTGTTCTTTAAGAAATTTTCTGTTTGAATTTATAGCGGTTAGGATGAAACATCCCACTTTTGACATAGTCTCTCCATCGTGAGCCCTTGTATGTCAAGTGAACTGTGAAGAATGTCTAAAGGCTTTACCACATTCCTTACATTCATAAAGCCTCTCCACTGTGAGTTCTTCTATATGTAGTAAGGTGTGAGAAACACCTAAAGGTTTTTCCACATTCCTGACATTCATAAGGTCTCTGTCTCACTGTGAGTTATACGTCTAGTAAGATTTGAGGCTTCCCTAAAGACTTTCCCACATTCTTTACATTCATAAGGCATCTGTCCACTGGGAATTCTTATAAGACTAGTTAAGAATAAAGAACTGCTGAAAACTTTCCCACATTCCTTACATTAATAAGGCCTCTCTCTACTGTGAGTTCTTCTATGTGTAGTCAGGGCTGAGGAACAACTGAAGACTTTCCCACATTCCTTACATTCGTAAGGGCTCTCTCCACTGTGAGTTCTTTTATGCCTAGTGAGGACTGAGGAATAATAAAAGGCTTTCCCACATTGCTTACATTCATAAGGCTTCTCTCCACTGTGAGTTCGTATATGTCGAGTGAGCTGTGAGCAACACCTAAAGGCTTTCCCACATTCTTTACATTCATAAGGTTTTTCTCCTTTGTGAGTTCTTATATGTATAACGAGGTGTGAGGTCTGATTAAAGCCTTTCCCACATTCCTTACATTCATAAGGCCTCTCTCCACTGTGAGTTCTTCTATGTGTAGCAAGGGCTGAGGAACAAACGAAGGCTTTCCCACATTGCTTACATTCATAAGGCCTCTCTCCACTGTGAGTTCTTCTATGTGTAGTGAGGGCTGAGGAACAACTGAAGGCTTTCCCACATTCCTTACATTCATAAGGCCTCTCTCCACTGTGGGTTCTTCTATGTGTAGTGAGTGCTGAGGAACAACTGAGGGCTTTCCCACATTCCTTACATTCAAAAGGTCTCTCTCCACTGTGAATTCTTATGTGTAAAGAAAGGTTATAGGAACGACTGAAGGTTTTCCCACATTCCTTACACTCAAAAGGCCTCTCTCCACTGTGAGTTCTTCTATGTGTAGTGAGGCCTGATGCCTGACTAAAGGCTTTCCCACATTCCTTACATTCAAATGGCCTCTCTCCACTGTGAGTTCTTCTATGTGTAGTGAGGCCTGAGGCCTGACTAAAGGCTTTCCCACATTGCTTACATTCATAAGGCCTCTCTCCACTGTGAGTTTTTATATGTGAAGCAAGGTGTGAAGAACACCTGAAAGCTTTCCCACATTGCTTACACTCATAAGGCTTTTCTCCACTGTGAGTTCTTTTATGCCTAACGAGGACTGAGGAATAACAAAATGCTTTCCCACATTGCTTACACTCATAAGGCTTCTCTCCACTGTGAATTCTTACATGTCGAGTGAGGTATGAGGAACACCTAAAGGCTTTCCCACATTCTTTACATATGTAAGGCCTCACTCCATTGTGAGTTCTTATATGTTGAGTGAGGGACGAGGACCGATTAAATGCTTTCCCACATTCCTTACATTCATAAGGCCTCTGCCCATTGTTTGTTCTTATATGTGTAGTGAGGGGTGATGACTGACTAAAGCCTTTCTCATAGTCCTTACATTCATAAGGCCTATGTCTGTTATGAAATTTTTTATGTAGAATGAGGGATGATGGACGGCTACAGGCTTTACAACATTCTTTACATATACGCTCATTACCTCTTATATGTGTCCGAAAGGGTAAGAAACTACAGAAATATTTCCCACATTTGTTACATTCATATAGTTTCTCACCAGTGAGTGTTGTCACAGGACTCTTAAGGGTTAAGACACAAATGAAGTCCTTCTTATATACCTTACATTTATGGCGTTTCTTTCCATTAAAAGGTCTCATAGGATTGGTTAGGTGAGAAGCACAACTGCAGGCTTTTCCATATTCTTTACACTGACAGGTATTGCATCCAGCGTGAGATCTGGTATGATGGTTATGTAATGAGTGATTCATGAAGGCATTTCCACACTCACAGCATTCAGAAGCATTTACTTCTGGAGCATTTCTTTCCACCGCACTAAGATTTCGAATATGGCTGAAGGACTTCCCACACTGATTGTCTTCATTACTTTCACAGAGGTTTTCTACTGTATGACTTCTGTTAAAAATAGGCAGCATGCTGTGGAAATAAATTTGTTCCCATTTCACCACTACTAAACACAGTGAACGTGCATGATTTTTGTCCTGACTTCTCATGTTTCATAGCTTAAACAATCTAGCAGAAATACTACCATTACTCACTGCTTTTAAAAAATGTGAGGCTTTCTGATAATTGTGTCCAAGTGAAAAACGTTTCAAATACTTGATACCTGACTTACATTTATGAAATGTATTGTGAACATTCTCTGACCACATAATTTTACAGCTAAGTTTATATACATAAACATATAAACCAAAACCAAACACATTGTTGTCAATTACAACTCATAGTGACCCCATAGGACAGAGTAAAACTGTCTCATAGGGTTTCCAAGGAGTGGCAGGTAGATTTGAACTGCTGACCTTTTGGTTAGCAGCTGAGCTCGTAACCACTGCACCACCAGGGCTCTATTATATATATATATATATATATATATATACGTTAGTATACACACACACACGTACATATTGCTATATATACATAAATATATATTTGAGCCCTGCTGGTACAGTGGTTAAAAGCTCAGCTGATAACCAAATGATCGACAGTTCAAATCCATCAGCTGCTCCTTGGAAACCCTCTGAGTCAGTATTACCCTGTCTTATAGACTCGCTATAAGTCAGAATCAACACAGTGGCAACGGATTTTTTTTAAATCTGTGTTTATTTTTACATCATGACACCTTAATTCTTTCTCCTGAGGCAGTGTTTTTTCGTTTCTATGAGACTCACCTCAAATGTCTCTCCTGGTTTTTATGCTGATCTTTATAGCGAGGTGATTTGGAGATTTCTCCTAACATTGAGGACCAGGTGTTATTCTTCATGAATCGCGCCATTATTTGTTCACTGGATAACTTCTGTTCATCATTAAGATTTCGAGAAACTGACCCAAAAATTCAAGTAGAGTTTCACAATATAAAACAAAAAGGAATTATCAGGGGGAAAAAAGCTGATGTGAACAAGGAAAGAGTTAGCCACATTTCACTGTTTTAGCACTTTGGCAACTTGGTTAGGTCATGATTCCCAGTATTGTATGATTGTCTACCATTTTATCATCTGATCTGATCTCTCTGTGTGTTGTAAATTCTATCACTATGATGTAATAAGATGGATTAGCGGCAGTTATACTGATGAGATCTACAAGATTAGTGTCTAAGGCAATCTCTTTTGAGATACAAAAGAGAGAAGTGAGCAGAGACACATGGGGACCTCGTACCACCAAGAAAGCAGTACTGGGAGCACAGCACGTCCTTTAGACCTGAGGTTCCTGCACTGAGATGCTCCCAGACCAAGGGAGGACTGATGCCAAGGACCTTCCTCTGGAGCTGACAGAGAAAGAAGGCCTTCCCTTGGAGCCAGCGGCCTCAATTTGGACTTGTAGCCTACCAGACTGAGAAAATAAATTTCTCTTTGTTAAAGTCATCCACTTGTGGTATTTTTGTTATAGCAGCACTAGATGACTAAGACACTGCCCTGAAGTGACCCCTGAAGCTAATGCTTACACTTACAATTAAAGGGCCTCAGAGCTTTTAATCACAAGAGAAGTGAAAATTCACTTTAATATATAGAGCTTTATGTTCATGGGGAAGCTAGAATATGTGAGTTCCACAGACCAAGGGGACATGCCTATTTTATTTAAAAATTTATTCCCATTCCTTAGCCCAAACATTGGAGCAAAGTCAACGAGTAAAATACTTTTGTTCACTAAAGGAATAAATAAATTAAAAAAAAAAAAAAAGAAGTTATTCTTACCTATGGAGGCCAGGTTTCTAAAGGTTTCCATCATCACATCTCTGTAGAGTTTCCTCTGAGCAAGATCAAGCAAAGCCCACTCCTCCTGGCTAAAGACCACAGCCACATCCTCCATGACCACTGAGTCCTAAAACATCCCACAAATTCTAGATCAGCAAGGTCCCATGTACTCCAATGGGTACAAGAAGAAAAGGTGAGGCTGACAGTCCTGAAGAACTGAGAATTCATCAGGATTTGACACAGGTTTCTTTGTTCTACCAAGGTATACCCTACAGCATAAGCATTAGCCTCGTCCTTTCACTAATTACATTTACTTCCTCACTGATTTTATCCTGTCTCACAGACTACCAACACACTGAAATAGGTAATCTCACCACAGTTTGACTGCGATCAGTTACAGTCTTCTCTCTCTTTATGGTCTACAACAGTTAGAAAACATAGTAGCAATACAGAAATGCTCTAATTCAGATCACTGCTTTCTTGTGAACAATTACATTTCTTTCAATTAAGACCCACCAAAATACTCAATGAAACAAAGTACAGGTATTCACCACTGGGAAACAGTGCAGAATGGCAGTTATTTCCTTTTGCCTCTAACAGCCATGGGAGGACCAAGCGCCTGCACAAATAAACTCACAAGCTAAGGCCCTGAGCTAGTCATATTTTCTTGAATTCTAGGGGATCAGGTAATGACAATTCCACCTGCTGAAAAAAGAATATTTTTGGAGAATTATGAATTTTTACATCAGTCACCCTTTTGTCAAAAACTCAGTCGTTCTGTCATTCTATCTGTCCCTTTCATAGAGATAGGCAGAGGGAATAAATGTTTAAAGAAAAAGCTCAGGTGAGACAGGAAATATAAAAACTCAGATCTCCCCACAATTCCTAAATTTCAAGACCTGATGTGACTGTAAACCAAGTGTTAGTGGCCGCTCCCCTCAAGAAACTCATACAGCCTCACATAAACAGTCCAATGTCACAAAATGACAAAGAGCACTATCTCTGCAGAAATAAGAACAGCATGCCCTGAAGTTTGCTGAGAAAAGGTTACAATTCCTATTTTGTAATGACTGTGTAACATGATAAATGTAATCAACGTGACCAAGTTATACATGTAAGCATTGCTGAATTGACAAATGTTTTGTTATATAAACTTTTTACCACAAATAATTTAGTAAGTAAGCTGAAGTACAGATAATTCACCTGTTAAATTGCCTGTGAAGCCAAGGAAACATAGAATTACATATAGCTCTCAAAATTCTCTCACTCTTGCAGCCCCTGAAAGGCACACAACCATGACTCCAGAATGCTGACCAATGGAATACCCTGGTCTGTAGGAGTGATCTCTGTGAAATATAATAGCACCAATCCATTGGGTTCCTCTGTAGTGCATTGAGAAAATGATGCTGAACTACACTTTGAGTGCTAAAATAGAACAGCTTTAGAGTAAGAAGACCCCATTTCTCAGGGAAGTGGTGAAGTAAGCTGTCTATGTCATCGCTAATCAACCCTGATATGATGATGTCACAACAAACTTTGAGCTATAGCCAAAATCCAAAAGTCTCCACTGCAGTGGGCCAGGTCACATATTTTAAAGTCATCAAAAATCCCTAATGTTCATTATATGATATACAGTCATGCGCCGCTGCATAACATCTGTTTGGGCAACATCTGGCCACATATACATCCGTGGTCCCATAAGGTTATATTAGGGTTCAGAAATCCTGAACAGAGAACAGGAAATAGCATATGTAACCCGTCGTAGCCAACACAACAGCTTCCTGCACACATGTATCACGTCTCTTGTATATAACAGCTAGGTACAGTTTGTATCTAGTGTTAGTCAAATGTTCGTCTTAGTATATATAGAGCACCCTTCTATGCATAAAAAACATTAAAGAAACACTTTCAGATATACTAAAACATGTTTAACATAACAATACAGTAATAATAATAATGCTTTGATAAGTGTGGTAAAGTAGTGCACATATGTTGTTAAGAACCATTGTACGTACCTCGAATTTTTAATACACAGTAGTCCACCCTTACCTGCAGGGGATATATTCCAAGACCCCCAGTGGATGCCCGAAACTGCATAATACCAAACCCTGTACGTACTATGTTTTTTCTATACATACATAAAACCAAAATATAAAAAAACAAACCTGCTACCATCAAGTCAATTTCCACGCATAGGGATCTTATAGGACAGAGTAGAACAGCCCCAGTGTTTCCCAGAAGTGGCTGGTCAATTCAAACTGTTGACCTTTTGGTTAGCAGCCCAGCTCTTAACTACTGAACCACCAGGGAGCAGTGTAAGTATATGTAGATATACATACACGTATGCAGATATATACACACAGCTATGATGAAGTTTAATTTATAAATTAAGACAATAAGAGATTAACAACTAGTATATAATAGAACAATTATAACAATATACCATAATAAAAGTTATGTAAATGTGGTCTCAAAATATTTTATTGTACTGTACTCACCCTTCTTCTTGTGATGATGTCAGATGATACGATTTTTTTTTCTTTCCTTAGTAGGTCGAGAACCACCATTTCACTTAAAGGAAGCACTTTACAGATTTTCTTTGGCATATCCAAATTGCCAGCATCATTACTCTTGTGCTTTGGGGCCATTATTAAGTTAAATAAGGGTTACTTGAACACAAGCACTGTGCTACCACAACAGCCACTCTGATAACCAAGATGGCTACTAAGTGACTAACAGGTAGGTAGTGTATACAGTGTGGATACACTGGACAAAGGGATGATTCACATCCTGGGTGGGATGGAAGGAGATGGCACGAGACTTCATCATGCTACTCAGTATGAAATTGAAAACTTTTGAATTGTTTACTTCAGAATTTTCCATTTAATATTTTCAGACCATGGTTAACCACAGATAACTGAAACCATGGAAAGCAAAACAACAATAACTGGGAAGTAACGTAATAGGCTTTACATGGGTTGCTTCACTGCTATGGGTTGTATGCAGGTCGGATGTTCATAACCTGAGGACTGCCTGTGTATAATATGGTGTTTGCACAACATCCCAATCACATAACCTCCTATTTCACAGAATGTATCACGGACTTTAAGTGACACATGGCTGTAAAAATGTAAAATGTCTCATGTATTGAGCAACTACGATTTGTAAAAGGTTTTGCAAAAAGTTTTCAACACACTAGCTTATTTATATCTCATGACTCTCTAAAACAGATATTACTTCAAACAGTTCACAGCTGAGTAAAGTTAGAGGCAATCAATCACATGCTCAATGTTCCCCACATGGAATGTTGCTGCGCCAGGGTCAGAATGCAGGTCAATTTGTCACTGAAGCCTAACTCCTGATAACTACGTTTCTGTTCATACATAAACAGTTTTGTTGTTATTCTGGATGTTATTTTCCAATAACACCATGGGTTATCTAGAGCCCTGCTGAATACTAGGGAGAGGAGACAAAGGAGGCATTCTAAATAATTCACACTAAACGGAGCTACTTCACCTGGGAAAGTCCTATATCTCAGACAAGACTTCTTTCCATCAGATTCTTAAATGTGGCTACTTCATTGATTAAAATTAATTTAGGTAATATTGACACACAGCCTACTTCGTGTTAGCAACAGATACAGTAGTGAACAAAACAGAAATATACAAATGAACGTGGACCAGAAGTTCTTTGAGTGTGGACAGTAATTTTAAATATATATATACCACATATATGTATACACACACACACACACACACACACACACATATATATATACACATGCACACACACAACCTCCCCTCACTTATCCATATGGTTAGGTTCCAAAGACGAGGTCACTATGCGAAATCAGCATTATGTGAAAATGGAGATTACCATATCAGATCACAAAATGGAGGATGACTACACCATCACATAACAGCAAACTAAAACATTACATAAGTTAAATAATATCATTACATAACTGCCAGATTACATCATTACATAACTGGTAAACTGCATCATTACATAACTGCCAAACCACTGAGAATCATGGTCCAGCCAAGTTGACACATAACCTTAACCATCACAGTCAGTGTTACTCTTGCCTTGCACTTTGGTGTTCATTACTGTCAGATATATACTGTTTATGTGCAAAATGGGATAGTGGATTTTTTACTACTGTAAATGCAAAAAGCTGGATGAGAAAATTGATAAGTGAAAAGGTGTATTTATAAATACAATGTCAAGTGGCGATATGTTCTATGGAAAATGCCAACACAGTAAGGGGATAAGCAGCAAGTAACACAAGCATATTTACCTTTAGTAAGTAAGTGTAGGGAGCAAAATAATTATTATAGAAAACATTAGCTAGTGAAATGAAACCTGGCTTGGTAAAAACAGATCGCACTTTCAATTATAAAAACTTGGAAGCAGGTTATTATGTTTATGCAAACATTCATACATTTCACATGCTTGTTGACTTCAACAAGTCCCAACGAAGGGGCACAAAAGGCAAAGGGCTCTACTGACCTTCATGCTCTGGAAAGGAAAGATACATTGCTTGTAAGAAAAGGTTAGCAGTAGGCTAAACATATAAATTTGGGAAACTGGAAAAACAAAAGCAGCATAAATGTATAGTATAAAGAAAGTAACATGCAAATAGAGACCATAGTAATGCCACAAAACACAAATGAAGATTTGTAGTTTCTGGTCAGCTATATAAGGGGCTTAGAAATCATCAATCTCATCCCTTACAAGAAAATATCTGAACACACTGAACTCAGAAAACTGAGGTCTGTTTTTTCAGAGTAAACTGCTGCCCTAAACCTGGAGGGACACATAAGCAGCTATAGAGAATCACCAGAGCAAAAACTTAAGGGTAGAAAACACCTCTAGGTCAGCATAGGAAAACTTAAAATGCAATTGACGAATTGCTGTAGGCTTGATGTGGACAAACTTCAGGGTTAAAAATGCCAGGGAGGCCCAATATTAGGAGGATCCACAGAGTTTTATCAGTTCTGCCTGCAAGAATCTTATCAGGTCCTCAGTGTGACCATCAGAGAAAACTCTGGGCTTCCTTCCACTAGGGGGAAGAGGAAAAGCAGCCGTTTCGAAAATTTCCTAGAGGATTCTGTTGTCTCTGATAAGGCCTGCCTTCAAGGGAACTTATTTAACCAGAGTCTAACTGATCTGCAGTAGTGAAATACCCAACTCTAGCCCCTTTTAGGCTTCCCATCTCACCAAAGTGGGTGAGGGGGGAAACAGCAACAATTGTACGGTCACTGCCCAGGGACACAGGCTCACTAAAAGACTGAGACTTAGTCACTGGACTCCATCAGGCCTCCCCTTTGACCACACCTTACCACTACATCAGCAGGGCTCTTATGTAATAATGGGATTACAAAAGAAAGAACTCCAAGTCTCACACCTGATTTAAGAAGTCTCTACGAAATGCAAACACAACAGGGAAGAAAAAAGAACATCAGAGCAACTGACAAATACAGCAAACAGCAAACACAGTCTAACTTCTAGCCAAATAAAGGTAAAACCTTATACTAAAGGCCTATTTATTTACCTCATTTCCTTTTACTTAATAAATAATCTCTGATTTTCAACAAAAAATTACTAGGCACACTAAAGACGAAAACATAGCTTGAAGAACCTACAGACTGGGAAAAAATTTTTGGACAGTACAAATCAGACAAAGGTCTAATCTCCATAATCTACAAGAAAATCCAACACCTCCACAACAAAAAGACAAACAATCCTATTAAAAAATGGGCAAAGGAAATGAACAGACACTTCACCAGAGAAGACATTTAAGTGGCCAACAGACACATGAGGAA